TCGCAGTGGCTCCCAGTCACAAGACCTTACCGCATATTTGAGGGGCTGGCGGCCAACCCTAATGGTTCTTACTTGGCCGATGCGTTACCAGTTTTGATATTAAAATTATGTCTAGACAGAGGTCTTTTCATCCACACCTGAACAGGCAGTCCGAGTCCTCCTAGGGGGTTCAGAGAGACCTTCAGCCAACACCAGGGGGTAGCCCTGGCCAGAAGGCGTCAGTTGTTTCTCTGGCCCTAGTGGTCTCTCGTGAGGACTTCTAGACCGGAAAAGAGAAAGGAGGAAGTTTTTAGAAGAGAGAAAGAGATTAGACTACCTTCCTGAGAGGGAAGGGTACTCACGGATTCCTAGCATTTCTGTGGGCACCAGCTCCGAGCTGGCGCGAAGTTCAGAGGTCTTTTACATTGTCAGAAGACTCCCACGAGATTTGGGTGCCAAGCTCCACGGAGGTTCGGGGTGCCAAGCCCCACGTTGTGGCACCAGATATGGGGGGGGTCGCTGGACCCCCGGCGTGGTGTGTGCGGGCCCCCTGGGGTCTCTGCCACACCTGGCTAGTCCCAGCATGAGCCTGGCCACAAGTGATGTGGGGAGTGCGCCTGAGCTCCCTGGCGCACTCACTCTGGATGTGGCGCGGCGGGTGCCCAGACTTCTCTGGGAAGCGGCTGCTTCAGGTCCCGCGTCTCTGGGAATAGCGGCAGCTGATGGCTACCGCAGTTTCTGGTGCTAAGAGCTTCTCTGCTACTGGAGTATTATCCAGTCGGAATCCCGCCTCTATTACACCCTTGTACCTTTCCTCAGGATTGCGGAGTTCCTGGCCAGTGAACTCCACAGGGAAGAGGCACGGAGGCGGCGAAAGCTGGGGTATCCGTGGGCCGATAACGGAGGAATAGCGCCCCCCAGGGAGACTGGATCACAGGATTTAGTGTTACAGCTCAAGACAAGTGACTCAGCTCAGATCTCAGTGATTCAGCTCCAGCTCCAAGTCTAAGTGATCCAGCTCCGAGTCTGAGTGAGGTGATCCAGTGTTTACAGCTTTATTGTATCTCTGCTCCTTGCTGTCCAGCTCTCTGCTGATCCAGCTTTCTGGGACCCAATCTCCGACTATTAAGAGAAGACTAGCATGTTTATATATCATTGGGGTAGTGGTAAAAGCTGTTAGATACTTAGTGAGATATTCTATTTACATGTGGAAGTGGGTTTCTGCTAGACTATTGTCTACCTGTAAAAATCACACACAGGAAGGCATGGTATGCATAGAGCCAAAGGCCATGTTTATGTCAAGGCATCTGTGGTGGCCACTTCAAAGGGAGAGACAGGAAAGATGCCAGAAAGCACCTTGCTATGAAAAGGAGCCTGCAGCACATTCCTGAGCTGCATGAGCTGTCCGGTGTGAAGGGGCTTCGACTTTTGCATAACAGAGGTCTCCCAACACAATATAAGTAGAATACAGTTCCGAAGTTCTTTTGTGAGATGTTTATAAGTGCATTTGAATTCTCTCTCTGCTTCAGCTCTGGGCTTGGACACATGACATCCGCTGTCAAAGATAGACTTTTCCCCAAACAAAATCTAAATAGAATCTGCCCTCCATGACAGTTGTGGTGGTTAATGATTAGATAATGTCTGTTAGGTGTTTGGTATAGTTCCTGAAACAGAATATTCTGATTTTATTGTTTGGGACATTATGGTTGTGAGTAAATTATCTACTTGCTAACTTAATACCCCAGGGCATGGAAAGCCAGAGCTAAGAGGCAGGGTGGGATATGGAAGCCCAGCTAAATTTTTCCTCTGTATAATACATGACATGTATGAAGCTACTGCCACAACTTGAACCATTTTGAAATTAGTGTTTCAGTTGAGCCATCTGTATCATCTCCAGCCATCATGAGCGGTAAGAAACGCAGGTCACAGAAGATCCCATTCGATGCAAGGAAAAACATGAAAATCAAACCTTTTTTGACTAAGGTATGTCTTTAAACACTACTTGTGGGATATACTCATGTCTGTCCTAGCCATAAGTGGTTCTCAGCCACAATGTTCTTCCTGCCAAGGAACTGCCTCAATGTTTATTGGGAATATTACATAAACTGAAATCTTTCTATCCACTTCATTCTTACTATTTTGGTGGATGGAAGTGAGGAGAGGAAGTTATAATACAACTCTCAGCCATATAGAAGCAACCTTAATAAAAAAAAAAAACTACTGAAATACTGACTAAAACAATATTTTCAAGAAATATGAAAAGCAATGTGTCAGTAAACTGTGGGAAAAATTAATACTTTTAATAGCATCAAAATATGAAAATAGCATGTTCTCTAAATCAGAACAGCTTGTATTTGTTTAGGACTTTACAGTTTATAAAATGACTTTTGTATATATTTATTCTTATCATAATCTTCTTAGGCAGGTGAGGAACTATCTTAGTTCCAATTTGTTTATGAATGAAAAGGAGAGAAGGGAGTTGCTTGAGGCCATGGTGAAGATGCAGACAAGTTTGCTAAGATGACATCAGAGTTTCTCTGCTCTCCTCAGGCTCTGTGATCATGCCAAAGAGTGTATCCTTCCTGAGACTAAAATGCTTCAGTATCTGAGAAGTGTCAGGCACTGGACATGCAACTTCACAACTGTCTCCTTGTTTCTTCCTCTCCAGGTTCCAGAAAGCTAGAAAATCCAAATAGCTAGAAAATCCATGGCAAGCCTAGCTCTGTTTGTCCCACTTTTGATTCATGACAGCAAGCTAATAACCACACATATAGTCTCTCTTTTCAAAGTTGTCAGTTCAGGCATGGTGACACACTGCTGTAATCCCAGCACTCCAAAGGCAAAGAAGAGAGGATTGTAAATTTGAGACCAGCATGGGCTATATACTATCTCAATAAAACGAAACAAAAGCAATTTGGGGGAAAAGTCCATATTCAGTTTCCTTTCTCCATTTCTCAGAGGTGAGGAGCCAAACAAGGGAATGTTGCCACCACTCTTAGACTGGGTCCTTCCCAGCTCAATTAATGTAATCAAGATAATCCCCCACAGGCATGCCCAGAGGTTCATTTCCCAGAAGATTCCAGTCTGTCAAGTTGACAACATTAACTGTCACAGACACTTTCATTTTTCATTGAGTTTTGATTAATTCTACTTAATTCCTCCTATCTTCCCTCTCTTGGTTATTAAGATGAAGTGATTTAAAAAATTGGAGTCATAAACATAAATTTATAAAAAGACTATGTAGTGTAATAGAAAAAGATATGAAATAGTGCATTGGAATTCAGACACCTACTTCCTTTGTGAGTTATTTTGTGATATAAGAAAAGGCACAGTGAAGGGCATTTGGGGGTACAAACCTGGTTCTATAGGCATATATATATATACACACACATATATATACACACACACGTATATACACACACATATATATACACACACATATATATACACACACACATATATATACACACATATATACACACACACACACACATATATTATATATACACACACACATATATATACACACACATATATACACACACATATACACACACACATATATACACACATATATACACACACACATATATACGCACACACACACATATATATACACACACATATATATATACGCACACACATATATATTTCTGTACTCATATATATATTTATTACAGTACAGAAATTTGTCATGAGGTTAGTAGGGAGGGTGCAGACATGGGAGGGCATCTAAATATGATCAAAATATATTGTATGAAATTCACAAAATTTCATTAAAAATTAATATAAAAAAGACACATAAAAGATAGACATTCTGTTCTTCAACTTCTCCATCCAAAGGGCAGAGGGGCCATTTTCTTTCTCACACATTTCACAGGATTTGAGAACTGATTTAATGGAGTAACTAGTTTGGATTTTCATAGTAGATTCTGGTTGAATCAAGGCATTAAGGAGGCATAAAAATTCTGAGTAGGAAAGACCTAGCTACATAGCAAGGCCCTGCCTCAAAGAAACTATTTAAATAATGAATAAATAAATATGCTAGTACAAGCCATCTTATGCTTGGCAAAGATAAAAATCATATTGCTTAAAATAGTCTACAAATATTACAGGGATTCAGGTAGGCCTTTAACTATCTGGGTAACACTTGTGTCTTCCCTCCTATTTGTTGGGGAAATGCACCATGTATAATATGAAGAGTTTATCTGACAGATGTGGTAGGAACTGAGCGTGTATTTACATCTCAAGTTGTGATAGAATTTTATTCATTGGTCTGTTGAAATTGGTTCTGAATCCCCCATAGGGATTCCATGCATTGCATACTAAAAGGGAAACAAAGGACTAGACTTGTAGTCAGAATTTTAAAGTATCTAACATTTATCTTTAGATGCCCAAACAAGAGCAAAATGATTCCAGTGTTCCTCCAGTAAAAGCGGACTATAGAAAAAGACTAAGTGAGATAACCAACACCCAGGAACGACTGCTTCCACCTAAGAAAACGAGACGCGATCAGACCCCTCCCCCAAACAAGACAATTTACATCACCTTGAGCGTAAACCACTGGAAAAACAAAAACATGAAACATAAGCTGATAGGCAGGGAGACAGAGAGCCTGTATGAAGCTCTCACCACTCTTAATGCTGTCAAAGAAGAGATACAGAGACACCAAGGCAAGGAAATGCTGGTGTGTGGCGTGGAAGGAATTGAAGGGTACATACACCTTGGGATGCCCCTTGCCTGTCTTCCAGAAGGCAGTCATGTGGAGATTACATTTTCTAAAACTGGAAGTGAGCAGAAAGAAGATAACCCAGTGTCTGAGCGGTGTGACCCATCATCTGACTGTGTCAAATTTTACATCCAAGCAGTTGGGAAGAGAAAGAAAAGGATCCTGAAGTGTAGGGAACTTCTCAAAGAAGGGAACAAACTCTGTGTGCCTGGCTCCAAAGGCCAGACCATCAAGGACACCCTGAGGAAGGATGGCAGGTTTCTTCCTTTTGTAGAGAATGACAACTGGAAACTTGTTGCTAACCTGGACACCATTGTGGAAAACACTCAGCCTGTTGATGAGTTAGAGGGCAAGCTGTTTCAGGTTGACATTGAGATGAAAAAGAGTCCTAGGGCAGCCGCAGCAACTTCACAGAATTCTGATGCAGAGAAAAGAAAGTCCCATGCGCTAAAAGAATGCATTGTGAATGAGTACCCCACACTGAAAACAGAACGTGAAAAAATCAAAGCGTACATCGAAGCAGAAAGTGAAAAAAAAAAGAAAACGTCCTTACATAATGTGCATAGAACAAACTTCAGGAAACTGACAAGCAACTCTACTCCAGTTAAGGTGCACAAACTCCTTTCACAGCTCAGCAACTCGGTTGGGTATCTAAGGTGGAACAACAATGGAAACGAGGGCTGTGCCACCTGTTTTGTTTTTACAGGATTGTACATTTTGACCTGTCGCCATGTAATCAATGACATTGTGGGCGAAGGCATAGAGCCAAGTGAGTGGGCAGCCATAATTAGTCAATGCATAAAAGTGATATTTGACTATGAAGAGTTCCCAGTAAGAGAAGACAACTGTTTTTTTATTGAGTCTTGGTTTGAGATATCTGATAAAACTCTTGACTATGCTGTCCTGAAACTTAAGGAAAATGGATAACAAGTACCCGTGGGCCTATGTAACAGAATTGACGCAGTACCATGTAGTGGGTTGATATATATCATTGGCCATCCAAATGGAGACAAGAAATCTACTGATGATTGTGCTGTAGTGCCTATAGGTGAACGAAAAAGAAAATAGCAAGAACGTGTTGAGGAAGAACTAAGTTCAAATATTCCTGTGAAGTCTCTGTATATGCACACCAAAAGAAGTTTCCCACCCAATATTAATAACCTCAACTTGGTTACCTATGACACCACTTTCTTTGGTGGGTCTTCTGGATCCCCCGTGTTTGATTCTGAAGGTTCACTGGTGGCCATGCATGCTGCTGGCTTCAATAATGTGTACCAAAGTGGAGGTTCCAGTATCATTGAGTTTGGCTTTTCCATGGAAGCCATCCTGGCTGATATTAAGCAAAAATATCCAGAATGGTGTGATAAGGAATGTGTAACTCAAGAAGATGTAGAAATGTTGAGTCCAGATTATTGAGGATCAGAGGGAATTGCTAACTTTAAGAGAATTACTGATTGCATTGTTATTTAGTGGGCAATTATATATTGTTTTTCAAAAAAGTCAACTTCACAAAAAGAATTGATGTTGTTGGAGACAACTTCTTATATATCATGTATTTTCTAAGCTTGTGAATTAACTGGTCCTAATAAACATGCAGCAGACTATTGCCTTCATTCTGAATTAAAGCAATATAAAAAGATGAGGTACTAGTCAGCTTCATGACAATATATACCCTCTAATGGCTTTTGATCTTTTCACCTTCTATTTCTTCCCCTAAGTTCTCTAATTTCAAAGCAGAAGCTAAAATTTCATTTAATTATTTCCAGAACTGGACCCATGGAGTCAAGTAAATGCTTAGAGAAACGTGTGGGTCAAGTGGTACCCAAACTTGGGGCTATAGTTCATGTTAAGAGAAGGGCTAAATCCTTGGTTTAAAAATCATAAACAACTCAGCATAGTGACATTCATCTGTAGTTCCAACACTGCACTCTGAATCAAGAAGAGCAGGAGTTCAAGGCCATCCTTAGCTCCATAATGAGGTCTAGATCAACCTGGAAAATACATAAGGCCTTGTCTCAACAACAACAAAAAGAAATGATCAAAACCAAAATGTCTTAGAATTTCCAAAACCCTTGTATGACTACTACTGTCAGAATATATGTCTCCTGAAAAATCAAAGGATTATGGCTACTCAGTATTGATAGACAAGGAAGATATCTTAAAGTCCATATTTTTTCTTTTATTCAGAGTTCCTTTGTTCATACCTAATGTCCCTTTTTCCATTCCAAATCCCTTCCACAAACAGGATGTTTAGTTGTTCTGTCTCCTTAGGCTCTACCAGGCTGTGGCAGTTTCTCATACCTCGGATTTGTGATGACCTTAACAGTGAGGAAGAGTGCTGGTCAGGCATTTTTTTTTTTGAGACAATGTCTCCCTGTAGACCTAGCTGGCCTGGAACTCACCATATGGACCATGTTGGCTTTGATCTCAAAGATTCATCTGCCTCTGCCTCCAAGAGCCTGGATTTAAGGCATGTGCCACCACACCCGGCATGATCAGGTACTATTTAGAATGTCCCTCTATTGAGTTTCTCTGATGATTTTCTGATTGCTAGGCAAGAGTGTGTATTCTGAGGTGGTAGAACACCTTAGGAGCCATTTCACCCCATCACATCAAGGCTTATTTTTTAATATGATTCGTGACTCTGGTATTGACCCTCATCCTCTGGCTGAAATGCTGTTTGCAGTTTTTCCCACTGTGAAGTTACTCTCCTGCCCTCCAGTTTCCCTGTGGTACCTATGGGAAGGAGGTCTTTACCCATAGCCCGTGGTTGAGGGGAAAGGAATTATGTTCTCCTTCCTGGTGTAGGTCTCCTGGAATAGCTATGTAATTTATGTGAGATCATTCAGGATTGGAGATTTGTCTCTTCTCATCCACTTATTTGTTTGATTATTTGTGAATAGCAGTATGGACATAGACCCAGAAGCAGTGCGTTCTCTTGTGCTTTCTTGAACCCTCTGTCTCTGTCTCTGTCGCTGTCTCTGTCTCTGTGTGTTTGTGTGTGTGGGGGGGGTATCTCCAGGCATGCAACTATACTTGTCAAGATGTCCTCCTCTTGCTTGAGATTGGCATGCATGCCAAGCATGCTCTCTACCACTGAGATGGTCCTCCAATCCCCAAGAGTTTTAAAAAACAGTTTTCATGTACACCTGTCTCTCCCCTACTTCTCAGAAAGGTGTTCTCCATTTCAATGGTGCTGAATTAAAGCATGACAGAGAAATAGATTTCTGTAGAGCACCTTGCATTGATACAGATATCTATAAATATTGCATCCATATCCATATGTGTCTACAATAAATTACAGAGATATCTCTGGTGTCACCAAATCTAATTCATAACTACATGGATCATTTCAGCTTCTCAATGCTTCTGTGTAAATTTCCCTTCCAGCTATGAGAAACATGGAATCTACCACCCCTCAGGTATCTAGTTCATTGTTAATCAAAATACAGATGATAGATAGATGATAGTTAGATAGATAGATAGATAGATAGATAGATAGATAGATAGATAGATAGATGATAGATAGATAGATGATAAATGATAGATGAGAGAGAAATAATTGATAGATACATAGGTGTATTTACATAGATGCATTGATACATAGTTTATAAATACATATATACATAGATATATGAGATAAATATAGAAATTTAAATGATACAGAGATATACATGCATAGATGATATAGATATAAAGATGACTAAATATATAGATGATAGATATTATATTATGACTCAGCTATAACATACATGACAAAATTATTCAACTGTACCTGGATGGGAGAAAATGTTCTATAAAGTAAATAATATGGTCAGGTGCAGTTTTTTTGCCCCCTTTTTTTTTTTTTAGTTTTATGGGTGTATTTACTGCATGTGTGTAAGTATAACCATGTCATGCAATGCCCGCAGAGGTCAAAAGAGGATGTCAGGTTCCCTGGAACTGGAATTACAGATGGTTGTTAGCTGCCATGTGGGTGCTGGGAATTGAACCCACGTCTTCTGCAAGAGCAGCCAGTGCTCTTAACCACTGAGCCACCTCTCCAGCCCTTGCCTTTAATCTTACTCCATTCCTTCATAAAGTTCTTCTAGTCAGTCTCTCACCCATGGGTGTGAGATTGTTCATACATTTAGACTACAACAGGAGAAATATTTTTTCCAAGAATCTCTATTTGTTCTGAGTTAAGATTTGCCAGTGAGAAGAAAGCATAAGGTGCACAAAAGGTGGATGCCAAGTGGTCGACATTATTTCTTATAAAATCAAGATACCCAGGGAGGTCTTTGTAATATCTCACTTATAAATGGGATCGAATGTCTCCATAGCAGTATCATGGTGACAGGACATGGCTTGCCTCAGACATCTCTACCTCTGGTAGTAGCTTTCCTCCTCCTCCCAGGGCTATAGCAAAGGTCATAGAGATATCATCCCCTGCTCCTCTCATGCACAAAGATCACCCAGTTCTTGTAATGTCCTCTGTATTCTGTCACATCCTACCTCTTCCAGTGTAGCCCCAAGTTCTTTAATCAACCTATTATCCTCTGAAGAACGCCAAGCATTCTAATAGTATTCTATCAGTATTGTGCTAAAATCCTGGTAAATCCAGCCACTGAATTTCAGCTCTTTCCTATGGATGTCCGCACCAGCAGGACTAGAGTCTCTGAAAGCATTGTTTTATGATTTTCTCACTCTCCAGTGAGCCCTGTGGACTCTGTTTCCCCCAATGAGCCCCCGTCTTTCCAGTTCATTTCTCCCCATATTTCTTAATTAGTTATACTGTCATTGTGGCTAACATGGGCACCATGGGCACTTAGGGACTCAACAAAAACTTAGATAAAAATGCTGTCTTTGTCAAAGTAGGTAGATACTGTACTTATCTCAGTGTTAAGACATACAAGGAGAGCATAGTTCAGAGCATGGGCTTTAGCAAAAGTATTTGATTTTAAAACCCGGAAGGAAGCCCTAGAGCTCACTGGGGTGTCACCTAGGATGTGGAAAACAGGAGAGTTCCAGGAGTTCTAAGTCCATGTGTGTCTCCTGGGAGAAAAAGTATCATAAGATGCACAGATCTGAGAAAGCTGAGAATTAGGACACTGGGTGACAGGTCAGAGAAGGAAGAATCTCATCATGTTTTCTGGAAGCTGGAACCCATTCCAAAGGTGTGTCACCTTTAGTTCTACCTGCCTCACCATTCTTTGCTAGAAGAGACCTCAGCCAGGCCATAAGGCAGCTTGTGTGCCAAGCCTGAGTTCTCTCTGAAAGCCTCTTCCTTTCCTTCACTCTGGCTTCTTGCTTAAGACTTGTATCTGGAATGAAGCCTGCACGGAATGCTGTGCAATCAGTGAGCAGGGAAGGGAACTGATCTCTGCTGCACAGTGTAGGCTTCTGGGATGTCCTAAACTAAATTGTAATGAAGCACAAGCAAGGGATGGGGCTTGTGTGCATGTCACAGCATACGCCATAGAGTGTTAGAAGAAAAGTGAGCATAGAACACTTCTCAGAAATGTGTGATACCCAGGAGTCTGGCTTCCTTGAGGAGAAAGGAAGGTGCAGTCAAGTACAACCACTCTCAAAATCACAATAATGGATCAAGGAGAATGTGCTGAGAGCCAGCCATGCGTCTCAGAATAACTGAGAGAAGGGGGGTTACGAGTAGAACAGATGGCGTGGGTAGATTGTTCAGAGATGAGACCCAGCAGAATTGCATTAATTCTTTACTGCACCAGAACTGAGCTGCATGCTGGTCTTTTTTTTATAGTTGACAGTACAGAACAAGCTACAGCAGTCTTATTCTAGTTTGCTTTGTTCTCCAGATGTCTTCCAGTGCTACATGAGGATGAGATATTTCCCCTAACCTCTGTATCATTCCCTGTTCACTGAGGATATAGTACTGAATCAGAGTTGAAATACAGTGTGATCACTGCAGCAAGTTATGAAATGTGACCTAGAATGTGATGATTAGCTCTTTATAAAAAATGATTGATTGTTTGCTACTTCCCATTGGTTTATTACAAATATGTATTCTCAGTGCAATAAAGTAATGAAAAATTATTTTCTCAGCTCTCTGTCTTTTATTACATATTTCTTTTTTATATTTATTTATTAACGTCTTTATTTTTCTATTTATTTTTGACTAACTCCCTTTTCTTTTATGAGACAAGGTCTGGCTGTTTAGCCCTAGCTGGCTGGAACTCCCTATATAGATGAGGCTGCCCTCAAACTCACAGAGATGCACCTGCCTTTGCCTCTCCCCTGATGGAAATAAAAATATTCACCATGAGTTATGGATTTTTTTAGTAACTCTTATCAGTTTGTGGATCACCATTCTTTTAAGATTCCATGTTTTCATGTTAGAGTCCTTAGTTTCATATCTGCCCCCTCCCTAAAGCTAGTTTGTACCCCACCTCAAGTCCTCACAGGGCTTTCTCTCATTTGCACGTAAATCCAAAACCTTTGAGCTGTCTGCTGCACTCATTCCCAGCTGAGGTGAAACAAGGCCAGCTA